ATCCATACATTCATTCAGTCTCCGTCCATGCATTCATCCATCCATACATTCATTCATCTCTCCATCCATGCATTCATCCATCCATACATTCATTCGTCCATGTGCTCATTCACTATGCATCCATTCATGTGTGTTCATGCATCTGTGTGTTCATTCATCCACACGTTCATTCATGCAGCTGTCACCCACTGTCAGACCTCAGGGAGAGAGACTGTGCACACATACAATAGCCACTGCTGGTGGCAGAGCTGGTGCCCCGCCCTCCAGGGGTAGATGGCTCCTGCTCTGGGTCCAGGAAGATGACCATCCAGACCAGAGCTTCTGCCACCAGGGGATTTTGAGCCCAGAGGATCCTGAGGGGAAAGTCCTGGCATTCCTGGTTTTATCTCCAGCATCCACATCTGCATCCATTTGGTCCCAGTGTCCCTCTCTGTCCCCTAGAACAGCTGTTTTCAGTCCCACTGGCCCCTGTTCCTCTTCCTGCCCTGTCTCTCAGGGGTGCTTGTGTTTGCCCCTGGGGCATCAGGACAAAGCACAGAGGATACAGTGTTTGTGCCACAGCTGGGGGTGTGGGCCCTGGCTCAGTTTCCCAGCTATGAGTGTCTTTCGGGCTACAGCCGGGGTGCACCTCTGGGGCTCTGGCTGGACAGAGCCCCAGCAGAGGACACAGGGCCTTGTCCGTCACCCTTGTCTCTGGTGCGGGAGGCTGGAGCTCTGGGGAAGGTTTGCTGGGTGGGGTTTCTAAGGAGCCCGAGGCCAGTGGGAGCGGGGAGGGGACAGAAGGGCAGGGGGTCCCAGGGCAGGCGCACGGGTGCCTGGAAGGCCAGGGAAGGTGGAGGGAGGGCACAGGGGTGCAGGCTCCAGAGATGGGCCTTATCCTGCCAAGGGCTAGGGGTGGGGCTTGGGGGGAGGAGACTGGGCTGAGGAGGAGGCGGGGCAAGGCAGGGATGCCCCCATCTAGGACTGGGCATGGGTTGAGGGCCAAGCAAACCACAAAAGACCAATCCAGACCCGGCAGCGCGAAAGGCCGGCACTCACTGGAAGCAGCACCTCCAGCTGCAGGGCAGATGCTATCTGTTTAATGTTTATTTTTATCTGTATGTTTGTTTGGGGTTTGTTTTGAGACAAGGTCTCACAGTGTAGCCCAGGGTAGCTTTGAATTTGCAGTGATTCCCCTGCCTCAGCCTCCCGAGAGCTGGGATACAGTTATGTGTCTCCACGACCAGGTGTTTGCTTTTGTGATACTAGGGAGTAAACCCAGGACCTTCTTACTGGGCTACATCCTCGGCTCTTTCTGTTTGTTGTTTTGAAATAGGGTCTTGCTAAGTTGCCCAGGAAGGACTTGAACTGGAATCCTCCTGCCTCAGCCTCTCAGAGTGCTGGGACTACAGATGTGCACCATCATGTCAGCATTTTAAAGTAACCACTGCACCTCAGAGGAAAAGACCCTGTGCTGTCTGGGACACAGCGGATGGAGCTGCCACGGCGGACTTCGGCCCGGGTGCCCCAGCGCCCTGAGCAGCCCAGCACTGAGAGCCCGGGCCGCCCCTCTGAGAGCCACCTGGTGACGCAGCAGTGTCCTGACCTCTTCCAGAGCCCTGAGCAGCGACAGCGCATGGGTTACGCGGCTCCCACGGGGTTCGCCCCACACCTCTCCCCACTTGCCCGCCTGGGGGAGGCCAGAGCAACCCAGGGACGGTGGCTGACTGACCGGCCGGCCAACTGAACGCTGAGCGACTGACTGCACAGGCTGAGCGCCTCAGCAGGCCGGCCTCACCGGGGAGACAGGCTCAGGGCTCAGGCGGCACGAGGAACCCTCTGGGGCTCAGCCAAGAACACTAACTGTATAGACCGATGAAAGTGGGGCGGAGGGAGATTCTGTCACCGGAGCTGCTTCCGTGCGAGCATGGGGCTTCTGTGTCTAGGGCTGTCAGTGGGGGCTCCAGGGCTGACCGGCAAGCCTGGATGGCACGTGAGGGCATGTAAGGTGGGCCTTTGGGAGATACTCATTCAATAGTCATTTTTAAAAGGACCTGAGTTCAATTACTGGTAACAAAAAAAAAAAAAAAGGACACTAAAGCTAGGCATTAAGGTGTGTGACTGTAGTTATAGCTGTCTGGGAGGCTGAGGCAGGAGGATTGCTGTGAGTTCAAGGGCAGCATGAACTATAGAGTGAGACTTTGTCTTCAAACACAGAAATAATAAATAAACAAGGAAATAAAGCTCCCAGGCGGTTCTAGCACGCCCTGCACTGTGCATCCCCCAGGGGACCCGCGGTGCTCTGGATGCAGTGACAGGAGGGCACGCAGGAGGCCCCTGGGCTGGGCTGTGGGTGAGGTGTGACCCCGGCTCTCGCTGCCCACCGGATGGTACAGGAGGAGCCTGCGTGTTTCTGCCGGCCGCAGATGCCTACACAGGAGAGGCTGCCCAGCCTGGAAGGAGGAGCTGCGCGGGGCACCTGGTGCAACAGAGGCTGGGCTACCTGGCAGGAGTGAGCTAGAAGGTGCCCGGGCAGAGCCCAGCCTGGGGGCAGGTGGTGGGGACCGTGGCAGGCGCCCCGCCTTGAGCCCTTCTGCTGGGCAGCGCCACCTCTTCATGCCCAAGTCGAGAGGGGCTTGGCTCGGCCCTGGAACTGAGGGCCTCTCCCAGGTCAGTGCAGTTAGAGGCTGGCCTGTGAGTGGCTTCACTGCGCCCCTTGGTCGCCATGGGCTCTGCCGGAGCCAGTGCCCACGGGGCGGCACCCCTGCCTGGAGGGACACGGAGAACAAACAGCCTCACTGACACCGTGGAGGGTGGCGGGACGTCCTGGTCGGCTGGTGGCCCCATGGGAAGTCCAGGGTCACTGTCCGCACCCCTCTCCTGGCATAGCCTGGACACCCCGTCTGCCCTCTGGGGCACCCAGGAATAGCGACGCAGGAACTCACACTCGCCCTTCACCCCGGGCTGGTCACTGCCTGACCTCCACGTGCCGTCCGGGTTGCTGCAGCCCCGCTGGCGATGGACGCCGCTGTCCCCAGCCCCACCAGGGGTTCTCCAGCAGAGGAGGAGACCCAGGGTGGCTCTACATCCCAGCTGCCTGGAGGCGGTGGTGGCACTTGCCTCCGGGCGGGGGCACCTCCCACACAACCTCCTGGGGCCCCCTGAGTTGGTCAGACAGGCACTGCCCGCCTCTTCACATAGCAACCTCTCCCTCAGAGCACACCTGGGACGCCGGCGCCACTGCCACCAGCCCGGGCCCTTCCTGTGCAGCGAGTGGTCCTCGGGCCTTGGCGGCCCGCACAGTCCTCTGTGGGTGCAGAGCCAGCTTCGAGGTTGCGCTGGAAGATCTTTCCCACGTGGCTCCTGGGGCCGCAGGGTGTCGCATCCTCTTTCAGGCCTGAAGGCAGACAGGAAGTCAGGGCTGACTTTAGCTGAACGTCTGCAGGGCTGACACCAGTCTCCTCAGCGCCGTGGGCTGACGGCCGTCAGGGACTCCTTGGTCCCCCAAACACCCGTGATGGTTAAGGCCGGAGGTAGAACAGCTCCCGCGGCCTGTGGGGCTTGGGCCGGTGATGCCCTGAGCCTGGACCCTGCTGTGGTAGCAGACCCACGCCGTGCGCACAGCTGAGTGGACAGGCCCAGCTGCCCCCAGGAGAGGGACCATGCAGCCAGCCACGGCTCGAGCGGTCCCAAGCGAAATGCCTTGCTGACACCTAACTCACTGAGCCGGAGCTTTCGCCCGATTCTTTACAGTGGGAGAGGGTCCAAGCCGAGTCCTCCCGCAGAGTGTGGCAGCCCCTCGTGCCCCAGCCCGGGCTCTGCCCACCCGGGGCTCCCGGATCATCGGTGTTCCATGGCGCTTTCTGCTGCCTCCTAGACTCTCGCTCTGCCGAGGCCTCACGGTGCAGCAGAGGCTGCAGGACTCTGATGACGCTGCAGGACTCCAATGACGCTGTATAACCCCCTGCTGAGTCTGTGCAGCGACTGTCTGCAGAAACCACAGGGCAGTTTCAGGTCCGCCCCAGCCTGTGCCCTCCCCATCGCGCTTCCTCCCGGATCCTCAGGGAGGGGTACAGCGAACACTGCGCTGCAGGCCTGCCTTCCTCCCTGCTCACGCTGAGACTCAAGAAGTGATTTTCCCGTCGACGTTGGCTGGTTTCATCAGAAGCTGGAGAGAAGCCAGCTGGTTACCAAAGCAGAGTGTCCCGGGGTCAGGATGGACCCCCAGGTACAAACTCGGGGTCCCCAGGGGCCGGGCCGCTGGGTGGCTGGCCCTATGCAAAGGCCCACGGTGACTGGTGACCGTGCTGGTGGGTCTGGAAAGTCCCTCGCAACCTCAGACTTGGCTTAGTGGCTCTGAGAGAACCAACCTCCGCGAATGAGCAGGGGACAGCAGCAACCAGACCCGGAGCCTGCGGGCCCCACGGCCGCCCAAGCTGCCGCCTGGCTGTGTGATGCTGCCGGGAGAGCTGTGCTCACAGGGTACAGGCTGTGGACGTCCGCCTGTCCAGGTGCTCGTGGGCCTGGCAGAACAGGCCATGGACACAGGTCCCCCGGCTCGGGGCCCTGCATGTCACTCAGTCTCAGGCGGACAGGCCCACAAGCCCGTGTGGCACGTGACTTGCGGGGCTCGGGCGTCCCCTCTGCACACTGTGTCTCCCATCCGGATCCTGCACACCACCCGTGGGGTGTGCGGTCCTCACTGGACAGCACGGGGGGGGGGGGGACGAGGCCCTCCTGGGTAGGGGTTTGCATCACTCGAAAGAAAGGAAAGAAGTGAGTGAAACTCAAGGCTTCTTTTTAGGAAACAATTTTCAAACTCTTGCTTTCATGCAACCACTTTTTTAAAGTAATTTTTTTCTCCCTAAAATCTAACCAATGAGCGGAGTGTGGTAGTCCACGCTTGAAATCCCAGCATCCTGGGTGGTTGAGGCCGGAGGATCGCACGTTCAAGCCCAACCTGGATAACTGAGAAGGAGCCTATCTCAAAGTCAGAAAAGCAGAAAAAGACTGGAGATGCAGCTCGGCATGAAGGCTCTGGGCTGTCTCTAGTTGCTGAAATAACAGTTCCAGATAAAATCTAACACGCCCTAGGACTGGGAGCCTCAGAGAAGGCCACCTGAGACGGAAGCAGAGGCTGGAGTGCCGCGGCCACCCCCAGGGCTCCAGGAGTGGACGGGGCCCGCAGGCGCCTCCTACGCCCCGGCTTCCGGGCTCCGGCCCGGGCACAAGAAGCCTTGCTCAGCGCCAGGTGGCTGCCAGGTCTGGCAGGGCTGGGGCGCAGCAGCCTCACGGGCAGATGCCAACTGCCCACGCGGCCCTCGCCAACCGGGCCTGCTTGGTCCCTGGCGGGCGGAGGCTGTCTGGGTTCAGCGAGAGCGCCAGGAACTCACCCCGACTGGGAGAACCGAGTCTCCTGTGTCCTCAGCCCCTCCTCACAGTCGTCCTGGGGGGTGTCGGACCCCCACCCTGGGCAGGAAGTGGCTCCTGGGAAACTGCTCCCCTGCACAGCCTCCCAACTCCTCAGCTGGCCCCCGCCCCCCGCCCCGGGCTGTGCACAGCACCCGTGTAGATGGCGCCACACCTCCGGGCTGGGCTCTGCGGGGGCGTGTCCAGGTTAGCAGCACGAGGCGTACGGGAGGGGTGCGGCCAGTACGTGGCAGGGACCTCCTGGGCCTTCAGGGCAGGGGCACGGGGATTCTCTGGTTGGGATGACGTGGGGTTGGCCGGTCTAGAGCAAGCAGAGCCCGGCCGCTGTCCCCCAGGGCCACGCAAGGCCCAGGCCTTCCCCAGAGAGCACTGGGCCTCCCAGGGGGGCTGCGGCAGGAGCACCTCCCAGAGCCGGCCCCGCCTCTGGCCGGGTGGAGAGGAAGGCCCTGGGTGCTCGATGTGGAACCGATCTGCCCCGGCCCCATCCCTCCCCGCAAGTCTCCTGCGTCCCTTCACCCAGGGAGGGCAGGGACGCCTTCCTCGAGGAAGTGCTGGCCACTTGCCGGGGCCCAGTAACAACCTCCTCATGGGATGGGGGATTGGAGGGGCGGCCAGGAGGGAGCTCTGGTCCCACTCCAGGGACCCAGGACAGGGAGGGGATCCCGCAGGCCGTGGCCTGTGGACGGGGGATTTCCAGCGCGGGTGGGGACGTTGGGTGGGTGGGACTGCGGTGTCCCGAATCCAGCACTCCGCTGCAGGCTGGGGAGTCTCCGGGTCAAAACCACTCTGGACCCACGTGTCGCCTTTCTGGAAGGCTGGGTCTGGGAGGTCATGACAACCACTCGGGTGCTCCTGGTGGGGGACTGTCCTGACCCCCAGACCACCCTTGGGCCCACAGCCCTGCCCCACGCCCGGCGGCCCCGGGCCTCCCCGTGGCCAGCACTGACAGTTCCCAGTGTTGTTCAAGAGTGCCATGTTTTCTTTAATGCTCAGGTGGAAGTTGGGGGTCCCTCTTCACCCACTTCTGGAGCCCACTGAGGACTCTGGTAGGAAACCAAGCTCCCCTCCCACAAGTTCCCGCCCGCCTGGCCTCACCAGCGTGACGCCAGGCCTGCCCTCCTCCGTCTGAGGTGCGTGGGCCTCACGTGCCCAGGCTGAGGGACGCAGACCTCAGGGTCTCCTCTGGGAGGGGGCGAGCGCCTGTCGGCAGCAGGGCCACAGGCCTGGGCCCTGGGAGGCCACGCTGCCCACAGCTGCTCTTGTGCTCACCAGGTCACCTGGCAGCACCTCTGTCAGCACCTCCCGGGGACAGCACATCTCTCAGTCCGCTCTGTGTGGCCACAACGCAGCCCCCCTGGTGCTCTGGGGTCTCCAGGGGGGCCGGTGGGCTGAGTCCAGGTCTTCACTGTGCCCATAGGGGTCTGAGGGACCCCAAGACTAGATGGGGACAGCAGCACCCCAGGAGGCCTGCTGGGCGACTCTGGTTTCAATCCCCAAAGCACATTCGGCTTCCGGGCAGAGGTGCGTTCCCGCCCTCGCCCAAGCCAGGTGCAGGGCAGCCCGGTGCACGGTGACTTCCTTCGGACAAAATTCCACTTAGCTTTCGGACAACACAAACAAGGTCCAGTTTTCCTCTTGCTAAAGATGGGAGAGGACAGCGAAGCTCAGGGGTCTCCCAGGGCTGGCAGCGTGGGCCGTTTCCTGCATCGGTGCATGCTGTCTTACAAACACAAGTGTGCACAGCTTCGCACACGGGAGCCCCAGGACAGAAGGGCAGCCAGCAAGCGCTGCAGCCGAGTCCTCTGCAGACAGCACGGAGGTCGGCGTGGAAGAGCGGGCGACCTCACGCCTTGTAAACCCAGCACCCTTCCTTCAGCCCAGACGTCCTCCGTGCAGGTCTGGGTGTGGACAGAGCCCGGCACCAACTCCAGGTGCTCGTGGGCATCTGTATGGCGCCGAGGGTGGGCAGCGGTCACTTGGGCACTGCAGTCCTGGCCGCTGCCATGCCACACAGGCTTCTCTCTGGGTCAGGGACGGGCCAGGCGCACCTTCCCTGGGGTGGCCCGTGACCCCCAAGGCCTGCAGCTCCTGTCCTCACAGCACACATGGGCCTGCAGCTCGTGGTCCCTGTCACCACCAGTCCTGGAGGAGTCCACTCTCAAGCTGTGCCAACGTCCACTGGGCAGCCGCTCACAGACGCCCACCCACGTCCCGGGCAGCAAACGTCAGGCGTGGTCTTGGAAGAGAAGGAGGGGAACGTGCAACGCTGGTGCCTCTTTTCCTCCTTATAACACCTGGCACACGCTGAGCAAGTGCCTACCACTGAGCCACCCGACCCCGTTCACTGGAGGCTTAGGGAGGGGTCTTCGGGGACTCAGGCCAGTGGAGATAGCTGCCTGTAGGGCCACTGACTCCAGCTGGACAGCCCCAGCTCTGTGGCATGCACAGGGTCGGGATCCTGCGCCAGAGCCGGCTGCAGGAAAATTCGGGGCTCATCAGGTGTTCAAGGCCAACCACGAAGTTTTCTGAACACTTGAAAGGGGGCCAGCAGCCGCACCTGCACCTGCACCCCAGGTAAACTCACCTGTGAGCTCGTGCTCCTGCGCCACGACCTGGGCACCTGTGGGACAAACCAGAGCCGTTCAGGGCCAAGCAGTGGCGGGTGGGCGCTCTGAGGAGCCCAGGGGCCCCCAGCCTCCACCTTGACACCATCCTCCCAGCTCGAACTCTAGGCTGGGAGGGGCGCCCAGGCCACCCTGCCGCAGAGAGTGCTCTCAGTGACAAATGTGGAAGAGCATTTAAGGGGCTGTGTCCTGCGCTCGGCCTGCCGGTCTGGTCCGAGGGGCAGGGGCTCGTGGGCAGTGAGAAGTATCTCTGGGACAGCCAGTGCCAGCCACACCCTGGGGCCTCAGAGAACACATGGGAGCAGAGAGGGGACTTCTGTCCCTCCATCCTGCAGCCACTGGGCTCCGTGTGACCCTGCTCCCCTGGGTGCTACGAGGGCCAGGGCCAGGGAGGGCCAGCACAGTGGCCCAAGTTCAGGGTTTTCCCACCCTCCCAGAGCGCCCCTCTGCAGCCACGGGTCACACAGACTGACAGCCACACAGCCTCTGCTCTGCCCCTTCCACAGGCACGAACCCTGTCCCATGTCCAGACTCAGAATCCACGGCCCCCGGGCTGGGAGGGTGGGCTTCTCGCCACCCCCTCTGGCTCGGCTGCATCTGGAACTCAGTGCCTACGCGACGTCTGGGCTTTGAATCAGCTTGCTGGAGGGTTCTGCTGCTGGTGCTCGTGCGTGCTGGCACACTCCAGCTAACCCCCAGGTGAAATCAACAGCTTGCCGAGCTGGGGAGTTTACAAGGCGAGACACTCACACCAATACAGGAAGTGTGTACACCTCCTCACACACTGTCTTGTACACACCTGTGCGCACAGCTGTCTCATACGCACCTGTGTAGTTTCTACGGCGACACCTGGCCCTTTTGACCCAGCATAGGGCCCCGAGCCCTGCTGCCACCCCGGCAGCAGCGACGGTGCCGAAGAGGGCCCCACTGCTCTCCCTGGGGGGCAGGTCCGGGTGCTCTGTGATCCGGTCCGTGCTTCCTCCGGTGGAGAGCTCTGCGGGGAAGAGGAGGGCAAGGGCTTTCCTCCCTGGTCACAGGAAGGCCCTGTGGCCACTCCCTGTGGGAGTGTGTTTACCCCCAAAGAACCATCTTTTTTTTTTCCGGTACCGGGAATCAAACTCACGACCTCGCGCTTGCCAGGCAGGCACTGTGCCGCTGAGCTAGATCCCCAGCCCCTCAAAGAACCATCTTGTTTCCATCTGTGGGCACCAGGCTGCTTCGAGACACAAAGCCAGCCCTGACCCCCGGGCCCCAAAGGACAGGGGCTTCCTGGGCTTTTTAATCATGGTGAGAGTCATGTAGCACACAGTGGACCGCTTAAAAGTGACCATTCGGTGGCATGCAGTGCCCGCCCAGTGCTGCGCAGCCGTTACCGACAGCGAGAAGCGACCAGCGACCACTGGCAGCCACGCCCGGCTCTCCGGGCGCCTGCTGGGCGACCTCTAACCTGCTTCCTGACCCTGGGCCTCCGCTCCGCACACTTCCTGTGAATGGCCCTGACCCCTGGCTCGATCACCAGACACCTCGCCCTCAGGGTCTACTCCGAGGTACGGCGGGTCGGAAAGTTTTTCCTTCTGCTGGAAGGGGATCCGTGGTGTGCTGGGCCACACTGCGGCTGGCATCGGGGTGGACGCACGGAAGGCTCCACTGGGGCTGCTGTGAGCCCACTGCCGGGGATGGTCACAGGCGTCTGCTCAGGCCCCTGCCCCGGCTGCATCACCTCCGGGGCCGAAGGACCCGCCAGCGCTCTCCCGTGCAGGAGCGGCCCCCTGCTTCCTCCCGGCAGTGAGGTGTGCAGGGCCCAGACGCTCCGCCTTGAGCCCCACTCCGCCCTGCACCATGAACTGCGGCTGCACCTCAGGCCTCTCATCACGGATCCCCGCCACCTCCAGTGTGGCCGGAGCCCAATGGCCTCGACACCGGGCTGGCCTTGAATGTCCCTTGGTGGTGTCCAGAAGCCTTTAAACACTCCCAGTGCGGGGCACTGGCCCAGGGGCCAAGGTGTAACTGGGCTAGAGCACGGCCCTTGGAGAACCTTTGGCTCCACCCTCCAGGGCTGCTTGGGCCGCTGTGCCAGGAGGATGGGGGCAGCCCTCACCCCGGTCCACACAGGCAGAGACCCTGAACACGGAGTCTTGAGGCTGTGCCCTGACCTCAGACAGGAGGGGCCGGGCCTGCAGGGGCCCACGCTCAGAGCTGCAGCTCAGCATGACACTGTGGCCAGCCTGAGTGCTCATGGGCTGCATGCGTGTGTGCGGCGTCCAGCGCCACGGGTCTTGTGATGGTGCCACGTTCCTGCAGCTGGGGTGGGGACACAGAGCCCCATCCCGCCTCTCGCTCGTGCGCCGCGTCTCACCCAGAAGCCAGGGACACAGACTCGGAAGAGTCCTGGCAGGCGCCCACCCAGGCCCCTCTGCTGCCTGGCTCTGCAAGGCAGAGTCTGTGGATGCAGACAGCGTGGGGCATGCGCCTGTGCCAGCGGGGCTGCACCTGCCCTCGGAGCTGGGCCGCACTTCCCTTCTAGCTACCCCCCCCCCCCCCCCCCGCACCGCCAGCCCTGTGCTCGCCCGCCATACCTGCAGGGCCACTGCCGGTGAGGTTCTGCCGCAGAAGCACGTTCTCTATGCAGCAGCCCACACTCGTGCCAGGCGCCCAGGGCACTCTCAGAACGCTGACCACGTCGTACAGGCCTCGCGCGTTCACGGACACCGTGTCGTTGTGCAGTGCCCTGTCCAGCACGCTGTTGTCCGTCTTGTTGATCCAGTATACCTTGGGCTGCGGGTAGCCGTCAGTGGACGTGCAGGTGAAGGTGAGCGGCTGGCCTTGGGGGGTGCCACTGCTGTTGACCACAGGCAGGCTGAAGTTAGCTGCAGGGACAGGTGAGCAGTGAGCGAGGGTGGGGCCTGGGGGTCCATATCCCCGCAGGCGGAGAGCACTGGCCAGGTACCCACTGTGGTGGAGAGGCTGGGCCAGGGCTGAGCTCAGGGCAGCCCATGGGCCGGGCAGCCCGTGCCGCCACCCCAACAGGGGGCGCTGCTGAGCCAGGGCGGCCAGCTCCTGGCCCCTAGTCCCTGGTACCGGCCAGCGCTCCTCTCCCGGGACAGAGCTGTCGCCCACCGAGCTGCACCCTGAGCTCCCAGGCTCCAGTGAGTGTTTCCAGTATTCTGATCTCATTCACCGTGTTACAGCACCCTCTCCTACCTCATTTTTTTAATGTCCGTAATTTAAATTTTTAAGATTTTTGTTAATGCAGTGACTGCAGTACCTGATGATCATGCTCATCAGGCAGACTTGACACACGGACGTGACGCAGCCTAATTCTCTTTCCTTCCGCTCCCTGTTTTTAAGACAAGTCTCGCTAGGTAATTCAAGCTGGCCATGAACTCACTATGTAGCCCAAGGCTGGCTCTGAACTCACGGTGAGCCTCCTGCCTCAGCCTCCTGAGTGCGTGACCACTCCCAGACCTAACTCATTTTTAAAAATCTAGTCTGAGTTGCAGAGTTTAAGGCAAAGGCAACAAGACTCGGGGCTCTGGGGAACCAGGTGGCCTCAGGTTAGGAACCCGTACACTTCCCCTGCTGGTGTCCGGGAAACAGATGCCCTTCCAGGGGCGGGACTCTGTAGGAGGACATGGAACATGAGTCCGGTTAATTTTTTTTTTTTTTTTTTTTTTTTTTGAGCGCAGTTAATTTCGGATGAAGGGTTCCTGGGAGCTCTTTCTCCAGGCCTGAGGCTGGATGAAATCAGATCTCCTGCTCCCTCGGTCTTACCGGCAACACGCAGTGTGACCACAGCATTCAAGGCCCGTCCCATGTTCCAGGACTTCCTGAACACCAGGCAGGTGAACTTCTGTGTGTCCTGTGGGGTGACATTGTGCAGGTGCAAAGAGAAGTTGCCCTGCTCCATGCTCTGCGGCGACAGGTGGGCTCGGGCCTGGTAGCGGCTGTCTGCTAGGGCCGAGGAGTTGTTCTGGGGGATGTGGTAGGCCACCACGGTGGAGTCGATCTGCCAGTAAACGTACACGTCCTGCAGGTCGAAAGGCTCTCGCTCAGGGTGCACGCAGCTCAGCAAACAGTCGCTGCCGACCGTCGCCCTGACTTCCATTTCTTGGATCTCTGCAAGGGTTCCGAGAAGAGACCTTTATTTTCCCAGGCAACTCTTCGCCTGCGGAGGCACCCAGGCTTTGGGGGTTACAAGACCCCAACATGCAGCTGGGTGAGGTGGTGCATGCCTGCCACTCCAGCACTCGGGAGGCTGAAGATGGAGACCAGCCTGGGCTACAGAGTGAGTTCAGCGGCACAAACAAGCAGACTCAGACACAATTCTGAGTCGTGAGAGCAGAAAGACACATGCAGGACAGCACAGCAGCTGTGTCCCGCGGAGCCAGCACTTCGGTCCAGCTAGGAAGGGCCCTCCCAGGCCACTCTGCACCTGCTCTGCTACTTCTTGGGGCACTCCAATTACTGCCAACTAAAAAGGACTTAAAACCACAGGTACAGAAAGAAAACCATTTCTCGACCACATTTATAACGTCGAGTGCACGGAGAGGAAAGCTCACGGGCCACACACAGGGGGCGCCAGCCTCAGCATGACCACTTCCACGCCTCCTGGACACCAATGCCCCTGGTCCCAGGTGTGTCCCCCTGCTCCCCCCGGGCCCAGGGCACATCCCTGCTTCCTGGCTCCTCCCCAGCAGCGGCTTCCAGGGCTCCACCCGGCTGACAGCAAAGAGGACAGAGAGGAAGCCCCCGTCTGGAGGAATGACCGTCCAGCCAGCCCAAGCATGACAGGCACTAAGAACCAGGCGGTTAGGAGGCAGGTTTGCCTCCGCAGACCTCCGTCTAGGGGCCCCGTGGTCTCGGAAGAGCCACGGGAAAGCAGGCAGGGGCATCAACACTTTGGAGGCTCCCCTCCCCGCCATGTACCTGAACCCCAAACTTACCAGCTTGCAGGCCGCTGAGCAGCAGTAACAGCAGGCCAGGCCTGGAAAAACCACCAGAAGGGCAGGTGAGACCGGGCTGCAGGTGCGTTACCTGCTTCCTCCAGGCCGCGCCGGCAGCTCCTGGGAAGGAAGTGCTGACGCCCACACAGAACTCGTGCGGACCACACCTCCTGCCCCACACAAGCCCCAGAAAAGCAATGACAACAGTGCGACCCTCTGGTGGCCTGGCCCTCTGAGGGACGGTTTCAAGACACTCTGAAGTCCTGGGAAAGCAGCTTTCCCAGCCTGGACACAGCAGGATGAGCGACCCCCTCAGCGGTCTCCTCGGGCCTCCCACCGCGCCACCTCCGCGGGGGGCCCCGAGCCTGCTCCGGCCCTTGCAGGGAAAACAGTGTGCCCCTCCGGGGTGCTGCCTGCGGGGCCCTCGCGGGGCCCTGACCTTGTGTGGGGGCACTCACCATCCCTGCCCCAGACGCCCCCACCCCCAGTCCACCACCCCGGGTCAGGCAGCAAAGGTGCAACAGGGCGCCGCGGCTGACAACAACCAGGACTCCAGACTTTCACCCTCACCTTCCCAGGCACCAGCTCAAGCCCCTTGTTTCTACCCGAGCTGTGGACAGAAGACCTCCCCAGTGCCCGGGGCGCCACCCTTCAGCGCACCCCAACAGGTGTGCACGTTGGCAAAAATCGACGCCGCACAGCTGTCCCCCGCCCCGCCCCGCGCCGCGCCCAGCCGCAACCCCCTCCCGGCTCGGTCCGCCGCCCGGGAGCGGGTGGGGAGGCGGGGGCCCAGGGGCGCGGGGTCTGGCAGTGTCGCCGGCGGTGGGCACCGCGGCAGCACGGTCACATCCTTCCTTATTCTGGGAAGTCAGCCGCGCCGGCAGGAGGAGGGCGAGGCAGCCCGGGCTCCCGCGCTGGGCGCCGCCTGCTCCTCGGCCGGGCGTCCGCACCGCCAGGTGACC